TTGTTATCGTGTAAATACATACTCTTAAAAACACATAATATTGCCTCAAAAATGTACAGACCGTATACAGTTAAAACACCCTTTGATTTAAAAACCCCCTGACAAGACTACAAAGGAGGCATTCCGTAGATAGTCCTTAGTATACGTTTTTGTACTGTAAATATATTTGGAGTCCTCGAGCTACTCGCCCAAAAAATTATTCCCTGCCTAAGTGTTCCTTCAAAGTTTGCGAAATACAGGGCTTTGCGTGCCGTTTCATTCAGGTATCTTGAAACATTTCGGATACAAAAACAGATTTTATTTAGTTTCTTACTAAGGTAATCAATATGGCAAGACCAGTCAAAAATTCATCAATATAAATCCCCAAAAACTTTGTGCTACTACCTACTGCAATTTGTAGCCCTTCAACAACAATGTTGTCTGGTTTCTGATTTTAATTTAATTTGGTTCTAAACAGTAATGTATTTGTTTTTTCTTTATTTAAGCATAACACATTTTTTCCAAACCATCTTTCTGCCGATGTAAACAAAGTAGTGGCATTTCCCACGAGTTTAGGGATTGTTTTTCCTCCTACTAGCAGTTTTGTATCATCTGCATACTCCGTTAGCGTTAGAGTTGTTCAACCTTCCGGAATCGTGTTCGTTTCCATATTTTCGTTTGTAACTTTTTAAAGGCTGGGAATTCCTGATGAAACTCAATTAGTAAAAGACAGTTTGTGAATCGCTCTTTCAAAAAGGCTCCATTAATGTTTAACGTATTTTCAACAGTTTAAAGATTTGAGTTGTTCAACCTTCGGGAATCGTGTTCGTTTCCATATTTTCGTTCGTAACTTTTTAAAGGCTGGGAATTCCTGATAAAACTCAATTAGTAAAAGACAGTTTGTGAGGCGCTCTTTCAAAAAGGCTCCTTTAATGTTTAACGTATTTTTAACAGTTTTAGAGATTTGAGCTGTTCAACCTTCGGCAATCGTGTTCGTTTAAATATTTTGGCTTCAAACTTTTTAAATGATAGGAATTGCTGACGAAATTCATTTAGTAAAAGACAGTCTGTGAGGCGCTCTTTCAAAAAGGCTTCATTAATGTTTAACGTATTTGCAACAGTTTTCGAAATTTGAGCTGTGCAACCTTCGGCAGTCGCGTTAGTTTTCGTGTTTTGGCTTCAAACTTTTTAAAGGTTACGCATTCCTAATGACACTCGATTATTAAAAGACAGCTTGTGGGGCGCTCTTTCAAAAAGGCCCTATCAATTTTTAAATTATTTTCAACAGTTTTCGAAATTTGAGCTGTGCATCCTTCGGCAATCGCGTTAGTTTTCATATTTTGACTTCGAACTTTTTAAAGGCTAGGAATTCCTGATGAAACTATGAAACTTTAAAAATAACTCCTGATGAAACCTGCTGATAACCCGTAGTGGAAGATGACGGAAGATATTAAAATATTTTCGCTAAAACAGGGTTTCCAAAAATTCGTGGCACGTTAAACTTATACGGCTTTGTACATAAGAGAAATTTTGAATTTTTCTAAAATTTGTGTTGAAATATTTCGGAAAATTGCTTTATTCTTGTTTTCATGTCTTGAGCTGGTTTTCAACCTCTTTCTAAAGTTCCGCCGTAACATCACCCTATAGGAAAAAGTGAATTGGTGTCATATCCGGTTGTTTAGATAGCCATTCACTTGCACCAACGCGTCCAATACAACCATTTCTCTTCCAATCTACTACATACTTTTGCCACCGAGTTACTCAAAAGCGTGAGATTTCAGATATTGAAAATTTTGCATTTTTTTGAAAACCCCCAGATAAATGGTCCTAAAGGAAAGGTGCAATTTTACGTATTAAAAGTCAAACTTTTCAAACGTTAAGCGCCTAAATGTAGTAAACTATTAGCGCAAATCCAATAAACCTTGTATCAAAAATATCCTCATTGCTTGATTGTGCCACCCTTGTTATTCCATGTTTCAACGAAGTAACTACAAGGTTTTACTAAGTTCTTCCATCTTCAACATTGCGGACTGCGATACAAAAAAGCAAAAATAAAATTTTCCAAATTGGCCTTTAGCATCGTCTCTCGATTAGTTGCTTTAGAGTTTTTAGGCATTTTTTAAAATAATTTTCAGCGAACGACCGTTTTTTCATGGTAGATACTACCCATACTCGCACAACAGAGCCCTGAAATTCGACCCAGGCCAAATGCTGCTTCCAAGACAAAACAAGCAGCTGTTGGACTACGAATACGGACTGATGGGCAACCAGGGACCGGGCGTGGATTGTTGTCCATCCGTGATCGAAATGGTGGAACCAGAAGGAGGAAAGAACGACCAGGACATTTACGTGGAATTGTACAAGAGCGATAACTACCGGCAACGGTTAGAGCTGATCTATATTCGGTTAAATCTGTAGCATCTAAGGTTTGATTTGGTTACAGGTTCTTCGAGGTTTCTTGCCATAAGGATGTCCTGAACAAACCTTGTCGCTTCATGGACAAGAAAATACACCAATCTTCAAAGTAAGTTGCCCAAGTACACAAAAAACATCCAGACTTCAGACAAACGTCAGATATGGCAACAATGCCAAAAAAATGAGTGCAATTTCTTTAATTCCGTGATTGTTTTCAACCTGGTTGATCATTAGGAATGAATGATCAAAAATTGGTGCGACTCAAAAAACCATAACTTAGATTTTTGTTATTTCTCAAACAAAACAAAGCACAAACCGAAAGGATCTATTAGAACACGTACAAAATTGCACAGGTTGTCCCATTTTAGACACCAAAACTTGAACTTTTTTGCTCGCTTAAGAGAACAGCAAATTGTCACTTCTCGAAACGACCCTATATTTTCTTAGTTAAAAGAGATACAGAAAAATGTTTTTGTACGACTTTGTTCATAACGATTGTTGAATAATCTGCGATTTCTCCCGACGACCAAATACATTAAAAAGTTCTAGAAACTGAAACGAAATACGGGGTTCAAATTATGACTAAAAAACTGCATTCATCGCAAAAGTTCGAAAGCTCCTCCGCTTCTTTTCGGTGCACTCTTGACTTCTTTTTACAACGGATTTTAACGCATTCATGATCTGTATGGATTTCATTTCTGCAAAATGCGTATGAATTCTTTGATTTTTTGAAATTTTATTCTTTAATGTTGATTAATTTTTAAATTAAAATTATATTTTTAAACATTTTCGCATATAAACCGTATATTTTATTTAATCACTCTACTTTCTTATCAGTTTTTTCTGTTCTTTAAGTAGTTACTTCTGACCCAAGTTTTGTTTTTGATTTTAAGTTTACCAATGTTTAGAATTATGTTTTTAATAAAGGAAATCATTATATATCACCACTATTTCTACTATCATCACATTAAAAAAAAAATTTGAAAGTAACCTGTGTCTTTTGGAACCGCATTTTGAGATCTATTACCAAGTTAAAACTGGAACGTTGTAACAAGTTACAAAAAATAACCGTTTATAACACCTCTACCTGGAACTGATATTTTTTGAAATTGATATTTGACTTTTTGTATGAAACATTTCTTTCAATCTAAGAAAATATAGAGCCATTTTGAAATGGCCAATTTTTTTTTCTCTTGAATCTTTTAAACGAGAGAAAATTTTTAAATTTTGATTTTTTTGAAAAACAGTACTGGTTTTTGCGCACTGTTTTGCGTGTCGCAAATGGCACGCGCTGTACTGGTTGCAGCTCTAGAAAACAAGCCACTTGCGTAAAAACGATTTTGACGAACTGGATATCAATATCAATCTTGTACATAGACGATAGTTGATTATGAAGAGGCGCTGATGAATTTGATGGATTTCCAGGTGTGTGCAGCAGCACACGTTCACGTATGCCCTGGTGAAAGACACTCCAGACCATCGAAACAAGAATCTGCCAACGTTTCCTGGCGCCGATGCAGGAAACAAAACCTACACCTTGGATTACATCAGTGTTCGGAGTGGATGCAGTTGTATGGTGACGCCTAACAATACTCGAAGAAACCAGAAAAAACATAAAGATAAAGTTCACAAAAAGAAGCATGCAGCAACGAAAAATGTGCCAGTATTTCCTGAGACTGCAATTGATAGGAGTAAGAGGTAAATCGATGCCGTCCACGATGATTTTGCAGAGTGAAACTTGTTCAATTCCAACCAATTTCAACAAGGTTTACAAATTCGACTCTCGGAATCATCCATCGTGGCTATGCGGGTAGAATTTTTAATTCTAAATACCAAAGTGATTTTTCGCGCTTTAAGTGTACAAAATAGTTCGCATGTGTAATGCGATTATCCTTATACGTTTGGGATATTTGGGGCTCTGTTTCGCCGATTATTTTGTATTTAGCTCGTAGCTGTAACTAATTAAGGCAGACTGCAAAGAAACTCTCGTTGAAAACTTTAATATTGAACATTCCATTTTTTTTTGTATAGTGCGAATATTTTTGTGAGGCTGACTTGAATGAGTCCCAGTGTTAAAAACGCGCTATAGTTCTGACTGAACGTTTATCACTGATTTCTAGTCCCATAGCAACATAGAATAGACGTTGAATGTACTTTGTTTTGACACTTTGCATGTTTGTACAAAAGTTTTTTTTTAATTTTAATTTGTTGGTTTTTCATTATCAGAATGAACTATGCGAATATTGAGAACCCGGGAAGTTTGCTTGAGCAGAAACAATCTGGCCCAATAAAATTCTGCAATTAAACTGGTAGTTAAAAGTTTTGTAACAAAAAGTGCATATGATTTTTTTATGGCCTAAAACAACTAATTGCATTTAATCTTGTTTTTTTTTCACCCTTTTCTCAGTCGTTTTATTATGCCGCGCGCTCTTGCCGCTCAATAGTCGTGATTTCCAAACAGTTTGCTTTTGTGACGTAAACAGAGAAATTTGTTAGTCGTTATACATCATCCAGTGTATAGAAAGTTTGATTTTGCAACGTAAAAATTTATTTTTTAAAGTTCGTTAAGTCGTTCAGTTAATTTTATTTTCTCAGATACAAGTCTACAGGGTGATTTAATTTCAGTAGATTGTAGAGACGCATTTTTAAGTCAAACTACTCTCACTAGCGTAGCCATCAAAATATTTAGTGGATCCAACCGAAATACATCACAAAATTGCATAAAAAATCTATTTATTCGAATTTTCAAAAAATGTTCATTAGTTCTGGGCATAATTTTGCACTAATTTTCATGGCTTTCTAGTTCGCATATCCCACTGTTTGCTTGTCTTAGGATTGTTAATTTATCGATCACCTAATCAGCCTTTGCTTAATAAATTGGCTAAAAAGATTTCAAATCAAAACTAAAAATAAAATAAAAATTATGAAATGACATTCAGAATAAGCAATTTGAATAAAACCGAATTATGCAAACACATCTAAGAAACGTTCTTTTACCTACTATGCATTTTCTTTTCTTGAGTAATCACGATCGATTAACAATTTTCAGGAAAATAGTTAGTTACGACTTTTTCAGTCAACTTCTTGGTCTCGGTTATAGCTTGAAAGAGGCACATTTGTGGCTCACCGTTTTATTGTGAAACTTTGAACCCTGTATACACTTGAAAAATGTACTTTGCTAATTTTAACAAACCTTCGATACTTTTGAGACTCAGGAAAACTTCTTCGGGGGTTTAACACTGTAATGACAAAACATTATGTAATATTTGCTAAGCTTAAATTGAAAATAGTAGATCTAAATAGTTAGTTTTAAGATGCATTTTACTGATATACAGTATTATTTTTCCATGTTGATCACGTGAATTAAGTCAATTTCCTAATGCTTTAGACACACTTAGACGAAAACAAAGTATGTTGGACTATACGCGCTCTATTAATCACGTCAATTATTTCCCTGGATCAGTTGATCCACAAAACTATCTCGAATATTTATTAGGTGCTTAATAAACGATCGAAAATCCATTGAATGTGTTGACTCTATGTTAAGATTGAACTTCTATGGGATTTTTGAATGGTATTTGCACTAAGCTGTTGATAACCATGTCCGAACTTAGACTGATTAATTGTTAATAAGTATTGCCATATAAATTAGTAAAAGTATTCAAACTCCCGCTTTCTGAAACTTAATGAAGTTGAATATGTTTATAAACTAATATTAATAGAATTTATCGGTATGATAACGCTACTTTTTAGCTTAGGTTTGAGCAGTTACCGTAATCTAGGTGTGCAAGTTTACGTATTATTAAGTAATGCACTAAACATACTAATGGATTTCACTGTAGTTAAAAAGTATATACTCTTGAATACAAATTAGGTTCAAATGCAATGCTGCTCTTATATTTCTCGCTCTAATACAAGAATGTAGATATTTGACTTTGTAAATATTACGCTTTGCCTAGTGGAATATTCTTGCAACTTGTTAAACGCAACCTTGCTAAATATTCATTTTTTCAAAAAACTACGATTTTTCCTTCACGCAATGTAGATAAGTATATTTCAACCTGTACGTATCCTTTTCCGACTTATTTATTTTCTACGCTCTTTTAGAGATAAGTATGTGTTAAAAGTATTATTTATTTTTGTATAAATGTGGTTAATAAGATTGATTTTAACTTTGTTTAACGTCTACTCGTTTTAAATTTTTATACTCACTTTGACACTCACTATCTCTCTCTATTTAATCTAATAGCAATTGAAAATAAATATATTTAAATGTGAAAAACCCCTCCTATATATGAACGTTGCACCAGTAAAGTGTAACAAATAAAATGTTCTTTGTTTTATTGGAAGCTTTGATTGTTTGGGTAAAGAATTGTCCAAAAAAGGTTTTTTGTTGAACGCAAAATTACCAGTTCACGAGTATCCGATGATAATATGAGGTTAAAAGTGCTGAGGTCCGGTAAATCCGGACAATCGTATCGGCCCCGATAAGAAACATGTGTATTAGAGGTTTGTAAAAGTGTTTAGATCATTTACCGATTATTTTTATATGCTGCTAATTCTGGACGGAAGTGAAACTGGGAAGACTTGAAGTTGAGTCAAGTATTAATTGAATAAGAGTATTACATTTCTACCGTTCTATCAATTCTACACATTTGACTAGAAAACCTTAATTTTTAACATCCAACGGCGCTGACTCAAACATCGATGTTTGTAAATAATTGAAAACTGATGTTGTGAAGTGAGGTTATGCAGTGAAGATGCGCAGTTCTGTTCAGAATTCAATGTGTTGAAAGAATGACACCAATCACCCTAAATAGAGTTTTAGTGAAAGCCGGAAGTTTTGGGGAAAAAAGGTGAAATTTTACAATTTTTCTGAGTAAATTATAAACGACGATCAGAAGTTTTTTAATTATTAGGCTTTAACGATGAAAATTTACATTTTTATGGTGTTAATAAATCGAACATTTTTTCGTCGTTTTTAGAAGCAAAAATTTGCAATTTGCCAGGAGAAAGGATCATTGCTCTATTAATATTAAGTTTGCAAAATATGTGTTTCTCAAACTACAGGGAGATCATAATATTCTTTCAGATCAACATACTTTTAAACTAAAAATGTAACTCTAGTTTTAAATGACACACCGTACATTGGCGGTTTGTTTGTTCAGGATAAGAAAACCTTCTGTGTTTGCTAAATAGTTTATTCACTTTTCTGTTCTAGGTTACCGGACAATTTTTTTTAACTTTATTTGCCTATTTCTGTTATTCACGATTTATTATATTTTGTTGTTCTTGTGTTTCAAGGATTCATTTCCATTAAATATTCTTAAATTACTGTCACATTAATGTTATATTGTTGTTTTAAGTATCTCGTCTCAAATTTAGCTCGGCCATTATTTAGAAAAGACGAATTTTCTTGTTAATTATAACAGGTAGGTATAGAAACTATTTAGCCAAAATAAAATATTGTCCTATTCTGAATAAATAACACTAACAATATACGGAGAGTGCGATTTATAAAACGTGAGATTTTTTAGATTAAAAATACTTTAAACTGAATGAATATTGTCAGCGCCCTGTAGTTTCATAGACAAGTATTTTATAAACCAGAGATTAATATAGTATTAGGCCTTCCTGCAGCCAAATTTAAAAAATTTATGTTAAAACGAGGGCCAATTTTTCGATTTATCAACACCATGAAGCACTTTGTAAAATCAGGTAGCATTCATAGTTTTTGCGAAGGGCGAAAAGTGCCGTTTTTCGAACGAAGACGACGTTTGACAGTCAATCGTCAGAGCGGTGAAAAATCGTGGAGTGGAGCCTATAATATGTAAATGGATCCAAAACATGCTGAGTTGCAGAACGGTTACTGTCCCACAGGGGGTAGTTTTGTCGCCTCTGCTGTGGAGCCTGGTGGTGGACCGGCTCCTGTCGTCTCTTGAAGGGAAAGGTTTCTACGCACTGGGATATGCGGATGATATCTCCATTGTTGTACAGGGAAGGTTTGGAGACACTGTATCATCATTGATGCAGCAGGCGCTAAACATCACCGAACAATGGTGTAACACGGAAGGGCTGAAAATTAGCCCACCCAAGACATCTATTATCGCTTTCACAAGGAACATATCTTAGAGCCCTAAGACAAATGTCTATATATGGGAACAAAATACACATGTCTGACACTGTTAAATATCTTGGAGTAACCCTGGATAAGAAGCTGTTGCTTAAAGAACATGTGGAACAGAAAACAAACAAGGCGATCAGGGCTTCATGAACCTGCAAACGCACTTTTGAAAAAACATGGGGAATTTCACCGAAGATGGTGTACTGGACGTACGTCACCATTGTGAAACCCATAATCACATATTCCGCCGTCATATGGTGGCATAGAACCTCTTTGTGCGATTGTTTGATTTTCGGTTAGTGGACTGTAAACACTTTTTTTTGAATTAATATATTTAATCACTCAAACTCAGATTTTACACGTATTTTTTAATGGTGGTCAGTTGTCGGCACGGCGACATGTGTTAGACTATATCTAATGTTCGACTTCTTTGCTTTGACTCTAGCTTTAGACTCTTTTTGGTTCTTTTTAATTTATTGCACTAGGGGGTCGGTCACTGTGGTTCAATCGTTCAAACGGAACAGAACCAAAATCAGCACATATCCACATTCCCTGAACAAAGTTCAGAGGCTGGCGTGTCTGGGAATAACTGGAGCGATGTCAACGAGACCGACGGCCGCTATGGAGACACTCCTGGGGCTGGAGCCGTTGCATATATCCATTGAAGCTGAGGCCCTAAGAAGCGCTTACCGTATGGGTGACGATGCGATGTAAGCGACGGATTTGGGACACAGTGCGATGTTCAGAAAATGGAAGACAGTCGAACCTATAGGATCAAAAGCTGATCGAATCAAAACTCTAAGCATCTCGGTACCTTTTAGAACATATGTTCTAAATGAGGGGCGAGATGGTGGAGAGACTCTATCAGCCATCACAGGGGACTCCGTATGGTACACGGAGGGCATAAAAACAGCGTCGGACACAGGGGCTGGTATAGTCGAAAGAGGAAGAACTGGGGAAAGGATCACCTTAACCCTGGGTACAACTACGACAGCTTTCCAAGCAAGCATCCTAGCAATAACAAATTGCGCCCGGAAAATCAAGGAAAGAGCCTACACACGTAAGCACATTATTACCATCGTAACCGGAGATGAAGCCACAATAAAGGCATTAGAATCGTACACAATCAGGTTACAATGTGTGCTAGATTGTGTAAAAGAACGTACAACCCTGGCCGGGAGCTGAAACAGAGTAAAACTCACTTGGGCAACTGGTACGAACAGGAACAAAGAAAACGAGATTACTGCGGAACTTGCTAAGGCAGGGACCGAGAAACCACTGACCATCCAAAAACCTGCTTGTGTTATATCTCATGCCCAAGTTAGGGTGGCAGTTGCGCGGTGGATCTTGGAACAACACAGAAAGTACTGGGAGGAGATACCGCGACTCCATACCGCAAAGCAGTTGGTGGGACCTCCACAACCAGTACGTCAAAATGAACTGCTAGGTCTCAGCAGGGAAAAAATAAGGAGGATAGTGGCCTTTTTAACAGTACACACCCCCTGCAAAAAACACCTCTTCAGGATGGGACTTCAGGGGGGTCAACCGACCTGCAGGGGTTGCAAATTAGAGGACAAACATCACTCAAAAGAGAAAATCGGCTGCTTTAAGTGAGGAGACACTCACTTGATTAGGAAATTTTTGAGAATTTCCAGTATATTTTCAGTTACTAAAGGGATGCGATTGGCCGTTGGTATAGATTTTTAATAAAAATAAAGGCCGTTTTAAGAAAAATGTGAAGGAAAAACAAAAAATCTGCCAAGAATATCACACGAAAGAGAAAATTTGTGACTTTAAATGAGGAAATTCCCACGCGAATAGGAAATTTCTGGGAGTTTTCAGGATATTTTCAGACATCAAATCGAAGCGATTGGTTGTTGGACAACACGGATTTTCCAAAAATTCGTCAATAAAAAGCCGCTGAACTGAAAGCGAAAATCGGCTCTTTTAACTGAGGAGAAACCCACTTAAAACCAAATTTCTGAGTCTAGTATTTTTTCAGTTACTAAGACGAGGCGATTGGCCGTTGAAAAACACAAATTTTTGAATTTTTTTTTAATATCACTTGAAAGAGAAAATGCGCTGCTTTCTGGGAGTTTCCAGGGTTTTGTGAGTTACGAAGTTGAGGCGATTGGCTGTTTGTAAACATGGAATTTTCAAAAATTTGTTAAGGAAAACGAAAAATCCCCAAGACTGTCCATAATACCTGTCGATCAAGAAAGTTCGCAGCTTTAAGTGAGGAAAATTCACTTTTACAGGCAATTTCTGGAGGTTTGCAGGATTTTTCAGTTACTAAGGCGAGTCGATGGTCCATGGAAAACACAAGTTTTCAAAAACTCGTCAATGAAAAGCTCAAAATTCTTAAATGCAGCCCATAACATCAATCGAAAGCGAAAGTCTGCTGCTTCAAATGAGGAAAAAGTCACTTTAATTGGCAATTTCTGGATCTTTTCAGTTACTGAGGCGGATGAACTCGGTTGCTTCATCGAAACATGGCTCTTACATATAGGAACAGGTTCACAGCGATTTTCGTTAAAATCCAATTTCTCAATACTTCAAAACACATAATTTTTTGAAGAAGTTTAACTACAAGAGCAGAGGAGCCCGCCATTTTTTCTTAATGAACCTGAGGTCATATGATCAGTGATTTGAGCCAAAGAATGTCGCAGTGCTATTTGGGACACCGTGTATAAAAAACAATTAAATTTAACATAAGAGTTTAAAAATAAATAAATTGAAATATAGAATGTTTAATTAGGAAAAAAGTGGTTGTCTGCTGTACCCCACTTTGGGAACGCCTTCTGCATACTTTAATGTGAATATTTTAAAATATGCGAATTTACTTCTAGAATTACTTTGCTCTATCGATGGGACATACTGTACATATTGGTTGATATTATAATAAGCAAAACAATGTAAATTTAAGGCAAATTCGCAAGAAATTCGTTATTTCAGCTTGTTCATCACATTAAAATTCGGCTATAAACATTTTGCTCTACGCAGCTTTTAAGCTCATTTCAAAATCTTATGAAATTGATTATTTATTAACATAGTTAAATCCTGCAAAAGACTACCTATTAGGAACATAACTTAGGCGTCGAATATTCTGGACAACAAGGTGAACTGTAGAAAATCAACAATGCAACGATCAAACTTTGCATCATCTGGCACTATAAAGATCAAGAATAATTTAAATAAAAGTCGTTGTTTGTCGCTTATGTGTGCTCACACAAAAATGCAAGATTTATGGAAATTCCAAAGGCACACTTACAACCAATTGTACTTAGTAGATACCATTCCAAGCTTGAGATGGCTCTGTGTGCCATGATGCAAGAAATTAGAGATGAGCTAAACCTGATTTTAAAATTACTGTTATAACTGTTCAAATAACATTTAAACAATGGGTACAGTTATTGCCCTAGTTTACGTCTCAATGCTAAATTCCTAAAACGGTACGCCCTTGTTAAGGATTCCCGTTAAGGTCCCAA